TACATGCAAAAGAAATTAGACAAAGCTAAGCAGCAATTCGAAAACGAAGTTAACTCATTGGCAGTTCGAGTTCGAGTTCCAAGCACTAAAACTATCATCGATCGTGGGCATATTGGCCGTCATATGGCTCAATACGAAGTTTACCACAATTGAGTCTTACGTAGTTCCTCAGTTCTAATCAAGGAGATAGCGCAACAAGTTTTCATAATCCGACAGTGAATTATCGTAACAACGAGACTTCCCAGTGTTCCTTACACTAAGGTAGGTATTCGAAATAATTGTTTCACCTAAAAGACTAAGGGTAAGAGAGGATGCACCAATTCAAAGCGAAAAATTGACTACAGACCACTCATCTGCAGACCCAAAATGTCTATCTTTCATTATCTGAAAGCGCTGTCGATACGATCGAACATGTCGCCTCTTTTGAATAATATGTCTGGAAACTTCATTTTTGATAAAAGCCCTGGGTGCAAACCGCCGAAGCTGCATTGAAGTTTATAGGCCTTACTTTTCTGGATTACCAGCAAAGTGGCTCATCGCGGATGACCCGTTTTCTCCTTTCCCTCTATCTTTACAGATGTGATCTGAAAAATAACTAGCTCCTGGCGAGAGGACAGAGGCGTGTAGTTGTTTGATCTGATGTGCTCAGATGAAATTGTGCTGCCCTCCATACTAATACGTACACACTGCTACCTGAGTCCAAATGCTATCGGGAAACTTTGTTCACATTGGTGGCCGATGGCAAGCTAAACTGGTGCATGAAATCGAAAGATTAATGAATACGCAGACTGAATATGTCATACCATAACATAGTCACATGTTCAAATTTCGCGATGTCATTACTTTCCTTCAAAACGTATCACGCTAGTTTTGATTCATGATAAACACAATAAACCAGTAAATGATCCAAACAAAAACAACTGAGATAAAAAGTCATTCTTTTGGTAGGACGCACTCACACAAACTGGATGGATTGATATGCGCGAAATAAGCACTGATATCAAAAGCACGAACTGAGAATGGTGATGTATTCCAAGAATTGACTTTCATTCACATCTACACATTGCAAAAAGGTCATGTACGTATAATAATAGATCATAATAATTCGGGTTGATATTACTGCGTTCAACGTTCATAATGTGTGTGGCATGTGACATTGCGTGGTGTTTGTACACATTACAGTTGCTGTGTGTTTTTAGAAACTGGCAGCTTGATACAGGCAACGGGGAAGGCAGTCTGCAATCGAAGAGCAGATTGGTCAGGAAAATGGCATACAGTAGACAGGATGCGTACAGATCTAAAACGTGGCAGTACGGTGGTCCTGGGTGTACAACGATTGCAGGTGAAATTGGATAACTGGTCACAAATTACCTGATCGATGATTATCATTAAATGAGAAAAAGAAAGTAACAAAAGAGACAAAGAGGGAGTTAACGGAGATCAGACGCCAGTGGACAGAAAATGCATTACACATGGACACAATTGATAGTGAGTGGGGTCGAGGTTAAAAAAGCAAGTTAAGAGAGAGGGCAGCTGTGTATTCGGAGGCNTGGAGTCTAGAAGGGGTTTCCTCCTCAATTCCAGTCCAATAGGCACCCGAGAAATGATCAGTGAGGGGAGACCGAACAGAAGAAAAGGTAATAAGTATCATCGTGAAGGATGACTTAATTTTTTTCGTCATGGAGGACGTGGCGCAGTGATCATAACAAAGCCCTGGTGAAGAATCATTAGATCCAAGTGAGATTGCAAAGGAAATAAAAATATGAGATTGTACATAAACACTTGCATTGGTGCAAAATCCTAACCACAAAAAATCCTACTGGGGGACAGTAGGTGAAACCGTTGTTTCCTTTATCTCGGAAAAGTATTAGAGATGGAGGTGCAGTGAAGGGAACATTGCTAACTTCGAAAAACAATATAATTTAAACTATTCTGAACGAGAGAACTAAGAGTGAAATGATTGACCGTTGATGTTAGGAGTAGGGGACCATTACAGAGTGAAGGATTTGCCGATTAGTTATGAGACCGATAGGTAAAATTAAAAAGGGAAACGGTGAGAGGAAGGAATCAAGAAAATGCGAAAAGAAAGGAAGCGAATATTTTGTGAGTAGTGAGTTGGACAAAAAGACAGATGGTGCACGGAGTGAGGGGAAAATACAATTGTACACAAAAGCAAAAAAACAAAACAAAACAAATGAAAACAAAAACGAACGGGGGAGGGGCCATGGGATGGTGGAGTTAGACATAACAGAGCAAGGGTGTCAAATGCTGTGCGATAGAACACCGGATGAGAATGTACGAAATTGCCGGGCTGGGTCAAAATGAAGAACTATGACAATCATCATGATTGGCACCACTTGTCCCGGTTGACAGCTCAGTCTTTATCATCACACGTCAACGGACGACGGAAAAGAATGAACCGAATGCCGATAAGCAGCCACATCCTGACGTTCAGTGATAGGGAATGTGAGGCTTTGACGATGATTTCCAGTAGATAGCTCGGACCAAGAATGAGTCAGATTTTCCATCAGTGAACTGCGACGCTCAGACCCGATGGCTCGAACGACGATACCGTTCCCGTTCGACCTGGCTGCCACGGCACAAACAGTAGCAACAGAATCGGTCGTTGTGGGAACAATCGGTACAGTTGTGGTAGGATTTCGCTCTCCTGAGATCGAGGGTGGAGTTGGTGGGCCCGAGGGATAATCATCAACGGGTACATCTGGACTTGGATGTAGCAAGGAGCTCTGATCCTGGCCATCTAAGGTGTATGAATGCAAACTGAACAAAGCGGAGCTGTTACAATTCGATAAACGGACAGACGCCACTTGTCGAGCAGCTCGACCACGAGGCTTTGAAGTGAAGCGACTATGAAGCGCCATTTTGGCCCGTCGGCGGGAATGCAAATTCGGTTCGCGTCGAGTGGGACTGGCTAAACCGAGCATAGAAGTGATGGTTCCGTGACCCATAGGGCCAGCCACATTCACGTGACCGTTGACATTTACACTGTTATGGTTGTACGCGTAACTCGTATGGTCGACGAGAGTGGGTTCACGAGTCAAATAGTGCTCCATTAGAGAGTAGATAAATTCCAAATCACGCTGAGTATTTATTGGGAAGACAGAAAAGTAGTATGGATTAATTGAATGCAATAACTCCAAATATAGATAACAAAATAATAATTCAATGGAGCGCTTTTCGAACTTTATGGATTTAGAGTATTTCCAGATGGAGAGAGAGGCGGTTTGGGTTGTCTTACTTGAAATACAATAGGCTCTAAGGTCTCAGGTTTAAATCCCGTCATAGATAACTTTGATGGTACTCAACCTCACACAAGTCCAGCTTCTGGGACTTTATGTGCTTTTCTTCTGAGAAGCTAATTCCTTAGTATTCCTAACAATCGCAGTAAGTGAAGGTTAAACACTGGAGCCAGTATACAACCAAAAGCGCCCACAACTTTCTGGTTAAGCTCGATACATAGATACAGCATCTGCTTGGGGAACAATTTGGTTTTAAGGTAAGAATCACGAAAATGTAAGGAGAGGGAATAAGTATGAATGGGAAAATTAGACAAAACAGTCATAAGTTTGGTGTCTCACTGTACGTTTTTGACGTCCATGCTTTCATTTTTCTTCGTCATAGGGCATGGGTATTCGCGAAAGAAGAACATAAATTTAAATCCATATGAGGTGGAACTGGTAGCATTATATAGTGTTACGCAGACATTTATTGTTTTTCTCTTGGTGACCCAGAGGAGAAGCAAGAGCATTTGGGAATTTTCCATGACGGCAATAAGTTCCATTTCTTATTCTCATTGATACTACTAGACTTCGTGATCGCAGCCTAGGCTTGCGTTAGGTTCCGGTCCGTTAAGAGCCGTGTTTCGTTATTTTCGCTGCCCGCCTTGATTATTCGGAGGGAGACGCAAAAGGAGCACGGGGTCAATGAAAACATTCTGGTGTCTCGTCGCAATACGTCGGGCCGGAATTCACCAGACTAGCGAATGCAGAATATTCTCGATAAGCGGCAGTTGGAGATTGATTTATTAGAGTAGGGTCATCTCTGTCTTTCGGCTAGCATGTTAAGAAAGGCAGTTAGTCGGCTGGAAAAATGTACCGCTGTCTAACCGACGGTGCGTCGTGCGGTAGGAATGGCCGCTGAAGCAAACTAACGTGTGACGGGAGCTGAGGGGAGTATTCTTGTACGATCGACAATTTTGTATGCAACTGTAACACTTCTGTAATGCAGCGATGTGTCTATCGCCGACTAGAAGAGGAGGAGCCAGTTGGCAATTTGAAGTTTGTACTAAAGTGGAATCGATGGTGGCTAGAACCCAGGAAGGCTGTTGTCCTTTTTGTGATGGAAAGAATCGAACCCGAACAGCCCTAACATATACATCTCGTACGAAGACAGACGACCTCCCCTAGCGCTCAGTTCTTCTGCGAAAATAACGGAAGAGGTGGATTAGCTTTTGGCAAAATATATGTTTGGTCGCAGTTTGTGGTTGCGTACGCCGAGACGNGATAAGCAAATTGCATCTATCGGGGCGGTAAATAATACACACAAACGACTTTTGACTAAGAAACATTTCAGCCGCACCGTTTCCGCGCGCTCACTCTCTCAATGAGAACCACGCCAACACCAACCAGAGAAGAAGCCCATGGATGATGTGGGTCAGGTCGTTAAGGCTTTGAATACAACACACTGATTTCGAGTGGACCAGCTACACATGAAAGTTCATAGTTGTATGTATTGTGGTTAGTTGTAGCCTATCATCCGGTTCAAACCTATTTCGAAGATGCAAGCTTGTCTTGGAGCCAACAATTGTGAACCACAAGGCAGCAGAATTGCTTCAGATGTGCCAGAGAGCAGTTGCGTGGTGGAAATGTATTCCTAACGGTCCTATTGTGACGTGTGATTGTACGACATGATACCGATTTGGATGCAAGACGAACCAACCGCACAAAACATAATGAGACAAGCAATATCTCTACCTCGGGCCTACACTAATGCAGTCCTTTGGGAAGATAGAATATTAAAATCCCATGCCCAGAGGAGTAGTGCGCTTTTTGTTTTTATTTCCATACACTGTGCCGAACAAATCGCGGTACAATAATCTTTATTAAAAAGAAAAAAGATCCATGATTTGCATGTGGGCGCGAAACTCCCAGGTTGCTCAGGCCAACGCAGGTAAATTTTCTTGGGTAATTTATAAACCGAGTCTTCGGCTAGTCAAAGCCTAACCCGCAAGGCAGCGGGGCGGCGTGCGAAAACCGCAACCTACTGGGGGTAGGTGTCTCGTTTATCGGATCATACGCCCTTTGGACGGGGTCAATGTCCAAAGTGCCCAAAACACTTTGATACCCAATTGAGCCAGTGACCACTACCACGACCAGATGTGAGTGTGTGTGCGGTTTGCACGCCTGTTCTTGGCTGGTTTGAAATCAGGATTTTTAGCCAGTACGCTACCATGAGCTTCTCAAGGTTGTGAATAGGAGAACTTCTATCGACGTGGATACTCTGACTAGGTGTGTTGCTTCCTGAACAAACAGTCTCAGACAGTCAGTGGTAAGCGACCTCTCTGCGTCAAAAAATAGATGTCCATAAGACTCATCGTGATCTATGAAAAAACCAGTCCACCATCAAACTGAGTAATGGTTGTCTAAAATTTAACTAATCAAGAACATCCCAAAGCCCTTTAAGTAGTACTTAGAGTTGCAAGGGTCATAGGCATTCTTGAAAAAATCGTGCTACTGGGAATGCCACCTTGTTTTGATCTATAGAGAATTGCAGTGAAAATTTAGATCATTGTTTGATCTCTTCTGTAAATTTCCGTACCTATTGCACCAACTTCAGAGTTTTCCAAAGCCTGGGATCGAAGCGGTGTACAAACGGACGAGTTGTTCCATTACTCGCTTATGTGTTCTGTTTAGACGCTTATTCCTCGTTCACTGCTAGTGCTACTGAGCTCGCCATCCTGTGTTGTGATCGTGACTTGGGGTCACAGGTCTACCATGTCTGTCGAGGTACTCACTAGGTGGTTTTCGGACCTACGCCATATTCTGTGACGTTCTCTTGTCTTGCAACATCGCACGAATCATTTACCGGCGTTCCAGTTGAGCTTTTTAGGCATTGTTCTATATATCCGATAGCATCTTGTAGTTATCAGTGCGGGATACACTGTGAATGGTGCACTGGGATTCCTACGATTTTCATCTTGGTGTTACTGCGATACACAACATAAAGCAGAATTTTTTCACATGCGTGTCAGAGAAATGTTCCCAGCTTATTTGTTCAGAGAACAGACTAATTGAAACCTGGTCGATGAAAGAAAGGTGTGGCAATAAAGCAGTAACCGTTGGACTTTTGATGGCAAGTACACGAGCGTTTGGAAAGGACTTAATAATTGGTGGGAATAACTCATTTACATTAGAAAGTGCCAAAAAACGGACCGATTGACTGACGCTCAATGATAGAAAGCAATTTAAACACACTTACATGTGACTGGAACATTCGAGGGCGCTGGAAACAGAGCATTTTGAATACGAAATAGACGTCCAGAATATTTTCATGAGTCAGCTGATTGATGAGGATACGCAACGCACAGAACGTGCCAACGCGATTACCCCCGGAGCTGAAAGTAAATCATTCATCGGACGGGTTAATGATAAAGATAAAAACGGGAGTACGAAATCTCTGATTGCCACGTTAAGATTTATCTGATAAGATGAAAAACTTAAACGAAAAATAATAATAAAGTCACAGATTCTCTGTCTATGGGTCTGCACATTAATATGAGCTATTCCAATAGCACATCCGAAACTAACTTCTTAAAACAGAGAAAATAATTTATGACAAATGAAAGTGGAATTGATTCAACTAGGATGTCATTCAACCAGTATTGAATGAGATTAAAAGAAATGGTCTCTTACAACTTACGAGGTCCCCAGGTGACAGTTAACTTTTGACAGGATGACTACTGGCTGATTTGGTCGAGATTGCACTGATAAAATTGAGGGTAACAACTAGACGACTTAAGACGAAAAACGAATTTCACGCAACGCTCTACTGTTTCTCGGATCCAAATGTTCACAGTTGAAGGGCTGCAATGCGTTAAATCAAGTCAACCTCTCGCTCGATCACGAGTAAAGCAACCGTTTAAGACAACAATGAATTTAGACACTTCACAGTCTATCCACGTTCCACAGTAACGTTTTTACAGCTCACGTATCCTTTTGCCAGTTCACTAAATTTTGCAAACTGTGGTGAAGTAAAACTCAGTCTCCGATTACCTCATACTTTATTTTACTACCATATATATATATATACATATACATATATATAATCATTCACAACGCGAATTAGAAAACGCATGAAACACCCATGAATATGCATTGTACTAACGTTATGTGCATTGAAAACTTCATCTTTGTGGTCCGATTGACATTAGTTCTTAAATCCTAGTTGTATCAAGACGTCTGTACCTGGCGAAGATGTCAGCTTCAACGCAAGCAGTAAACAGAATTGCGCGACAACGATCTAACCAACAGTTGCATCCGGGTTGACACTATAACAGCCAATGTTTACGAGCATCTCGTAAAAATTTGACAACCCACGACGATCATTTTGAGACTTGTGTGGATCGCTTAGGAATCTGGGGTGATCATTCAAAATCGAAGGGAAATAATCGTAGGAGTTCTGTTTGATCTAGAAGGATTGAAATTTGCTCTTGAAGATATTTAACATTATAGATAATTTTTGAAAAGTGAACACATGTTTCTCTGACAACATTATCACCAGGGAAATCCGTTACTCTTGCACGAAGCGTCACGTGATCCAGATAAATGAGCGGAAAATGTTAACTCCGCCTAAGATGAGCAGCATGATGGAAGGCAGTAAAACATAGCTGTCTTAGAAGCACAGATCATACGGTTACCTGCCAACTTTAAACACGAGTCTATGAATGGACTAGACCTACTTGGATCTACTTTTAGAGAGAAAAAGTAATCCGATTGCGCATCCAAGCTCATGAAAAAGATCTGGTGTACTTTCAAGAGGTGAACAATGACAACAA